GGGTCTGGTATGAGACTTTTGTTGGGCATATCAGATGAAGGGCAAAGATTCAGGAAAACTGAGTAACAGCTTAGTGAAATATTAAACTCAGAAAAGAAAATTTCAGAGGCAGGTAAATCTGAATTTATGGAGATAATATACTGTATTTAAAAGTTTTGGAGTTGGACAGGAATGGACTTTGATCCCAGGCTGGCCACTTAGCAGGCCACTTCCCTGAAATTCCATTTTTAAAAAAATCTGCAAAATAATGATCATATGATATTTCAGAGAATCTAGGCTACATCAATTGTAAGATCTGGTCTCATTAAAGAGGTTTTTAAAATGAAAAGACAGCCAATGGATTGTTAAATGTTTCCTGATTTCAGAGGTGTTAAGACTGTAAAAATTGTGTATTTTAGAATCTATGACACATGTATAGACTGGTTCTTCTCTGTGGAGATTAAATGAGATAACGCACTTGCTGAGTTCTTGGCACGGCCCACAGTCAGTGTTCAGTGAAGCTGCAGTGAGTGTGGCTGTTATTTGGAGATGGTGACAAATAGTAACAAGAGAATAGACTTGACTGAGGTCTTCATAGCCTCCCAAGACAATCTGGATGTAGGGTGAGATATTAGAAGCCAACATGCAAGGGCAGGTCCAGAAGTAAACCTCAGAAGAAGATGAAAGTACAGAAGATGCACAATGGAAAAATGGTCCCACGTGCTCTGCTGATGGAGACCCAGTTCTGAGCAATGATCTTCCCAAGCCCCAGAAGTGCAGGAGAAACACTTTTTTAAAGGGTACTGTTCAAATGGTGGGCTAGCTATCCCTGTTCAAAGGTGAAGCAGGAGAGGGAAAACTTCCAGAATGTTCTGTCAGCTTTTCTAGCATTTGGGTTTTCTTCTTCCCTGCTCACTGACATCTACTTCTGTTACATTTCCTGTGATTTCTGAAGTGACCACTGATTGGCTCCCTGGAGGAAACCCTTCTGTGCTACATCCTCTGATGGGCGTTTTCAGTTAGGCCTGGAGGGGTCTGTGGAGGGTGAAGAGGTGCCAAGATGCGTCAGTCAGGCTATTTCACCTGCCTCTGAAGCTGCTGGTTCCCAGACTGGGCGAGCGTGGGCCTCATGCCAAGGAACAGCCACTCATTGTTCTCTGATGCCAAAGACAATGCTGCCAGAGGTAGAGAAGCCCACGCCAGGATTCTAATAAGTGAAAAACGGCCTGGATTGTGCCTCTGCTTTGGAAGCCATCTCTTTCTTTTCCTGTGGTTTAATGGCAGTTTTAGAGATATGATGAATGGAGGCAGGGTGTATATGAACATGTGATGGAACCTATGATGGAAAGTGGCCTAAATGCTGTTGTGTATGGGGCAGGCAACTGCAATGAAAATGGCTCTTCTTTCGAAAACAAAGACTTCCTTATTTGGGGAGAAGATCCTGAAGAAATTAGTTATTTCTTCCATTTCTGACTTCAACTTGTTTCAACATCAGGACTGATGTAAATGGGGTACAGAGAAGGACAAAAAAGGAGTTTGCAGCAAGAGTTTAATCTACTCAGTTTGGGTTGGCTTGTTATAAGAAAAGAAAATAGTATGGAAATTTTGGTTGAAAGATTATGCCATGTAAAAATTACATATTATATGGTCACTCCTGAACTAATAACCTCCAGGGGTTTTTAAGAATGAAATTCAGGGACTTTCCTGGTTGCCTAGTGGTTGAGAATCTGCCTGCCAATGCAGGGGCCACACATTCGGTCCTTGGTCCAAGAACTAAGATCCCACGTGCTGCAGGGCAACTAAACCTGGGAGCTGCGGCTACTGAAGCCCGGGCGCTCTAGAGCCCATGCTTTGCAACAGGAGAAGCCGCCAGAAGGAGAAGCCTGAGCACCACAGCTAGACAGTAGCCCCCACTTGCCACAACTCGGGATAGCCCATGGGTGGCAACGAAGGCCCGGCGCAGCCAGAAATTTAAAAATAAATAATATATTTCTTTAAAAAAAAGCAATGAAATTCGAGTGGCAGCTCTAGATCACAACATCAGAGAAAAACCAAATTGCCCGAGAAGACAGTGGCAACCCGCAACTGAAGCGTGTGGCTAGCTGGTGTGTAGATCACAGACAGAGCTTCCCTTTCCCCTCGGCAGGCCAGTTGCACGTGCGACCCTAGCTTCTCACTCCAGCCCAAAGGTCTGGAGAGAGGATGTGGCTCAGCCTGGGAGCGGAGCTGAATCATCACCCCACTCACGTCATGGCACATCCGTGCTACGCTCCCACCTCCAGGCTCTTAGATTCGCTAAAGGACTTGTAGGAGGATGAAAATTCCACTTGATTTAATTTCTCCCTAGGAAAAATGCACTCAGGAATGCTGTAAATCTCTTGAAACCAGTTTCCTTCAAGGTTGCCTTGGAAACTTTAAATATGTGTACAAGTTCCACCTTGTACTTCCTTAGTCTTAACCCTGTGTCTGAGATGCAGTGGTGGTGGTGAGGGGGGCTACTCGCTGTGGTCAAGCACTGTCAGGGGCTTGTTGCGTAAGGGGGCTGATTCTCAACGATCCACTCGCCTTGGCCCCCCCCTTGGATCAAGAGCACATCTGAAAGATGGGTGGCCAGGAGGTGGGTTTGAAGGCTATTATTTGCATAAAATGACTTAAGAGTGACATTGGTTTTATTAGCACCACTGAATTACCAGCCACTTTCTCATTAGCAATAAATGTCTGAGTTTTAACATTGCTATGAACTCTGCTTATTATTATCCAGAAAGCACAAAGGTTTATTTGCCCAGGGCTTTCTCTAGTACATCTGGACCTTTTGTGTGTAAATTACAGACATATTCTCTGGAATACCAACTACAGCCTTCAGATCCCTGGCCTGGGCATCTGTGGGGCAGCCTCTGATTTGCCTAATCTCAAGAAATACGGCAAATTGGACCCATCGATGTGTGTTGTTGCATCAAAATTATGTCGAATTTAGAATTACTTGTGACAACAACTCACTATACTCAGAGTGAAACACTAAGTAGATCAGAATGGGCCATTGGTGCCTTCCACCGTTTGTATATTTCATTAGTGTTGGAACAGCTTTAATTTGGTTTAGAGAGTTAGATGTTTGCCAAGGGCAAAACTTTATGTCACTTTTTGGGGAGAAACGATTCATACAGTGTCCTCCCCTCTTGTCTCTCCAGGAATGAAAACAGACCATCAGGTCCTTGAGTCAGATGACTCTGACAAGCCGGCTCTGAATCCACTCAGGCCTGTTTCCCCTTCCCTCATCAATGGTTTGGGTCACTGATCTCTATGAGAGTCAGATAAACTATGAATGTTATCTCTAGAAAAGTGCTCCTGACCCTCAGTTTTTTTTTTTTCCCATATGGTTTTAGGGGTTTTGAGAATTCAGGCCAAGAAAGGAGTTTTACATAGGATTTTAAGAGAGACCAGTTACATTGAAATAGTTACCAAGATTTTAAAAAGTTTTGTGGTATAGAAATAGCTATATGTGCTTTTATATAAGTGCATTAAATGACAAGGTCTACTGGTGAGTCTAATAACTACTGTAATTTTGAAGCACTGATGAGTATAAGAGATATTTTACAATGTCTGCCAACTGTGCTGTGAAATGAAAATGTTGGTAATTTCCACTGTGACAGGTGCTGCTACTGTGGTCTGCTGCCGACATTCATCATTAGATGGAGCGCTAAACTGCAGTTAGAGGTTAGTGAAAATAAAGGTGCATTTTCCCTCCATCTAGGTTGCTGGACCTTAAGTCAAGAACCTCTGAGACCCTGGAGATTCTTGTCCTGGTGCAGGGCATGGCTCGGGGCTTGTCGGCCTCAGTTCTTTGTTCAGGCCACAGTAGAGAACGCAGGTAGAGAAGGCAATGGCACCCCACTCCAGTACTCTTGCCTGGAAAGTCCCATGGACGGAGGAGCCTGGTAGGCTACAGCCCATGGAGTCGCACAGAGTCGGACACGACTGAAGCGACTTCACTTTCCCTTTTCACTTTCATGCATTGAGAAGGAAATGGCAACCCATTCCAGTACTCTTGCCTGGAGAATTCCAGGGACAGAGGAGTCTGGTGGGCTGCTGTCTATGGGGGCGCACAGAGTTGGACACGACTGAAGCGACTTAGCAGCAGCAGTAGCAGCAGCAGAGAATGCAGGGCTAGCTGGTTCCCTAACTGAAATGACCCCGGGCTATTGTGAGTTGCCATATTTTGTAGGAAAAGCCAAAAGCGATGTTCATAGTGGCCTTCGGCCCTATCCTCACGTATGAGAGAAGAGAGGTTGGGACGAGGGGGACACAGGAGTCAGCTGTAAGAGGTAACTCCTGTCTTAGCTAGCACAGAGACGAAGCCACAAGGGACCGCCTTGGTGACGCTGTCCAGACTGGGAGACGGGTCTCTGTGTGTCTTTTAGCTTCAGGTGAAAGAAGCATCTTCCTCTCACTTTGACAAAGATCTGAGGCACAGTATTACTGAATTTGCCTCTTGCCTTAACCTCACTTTTCCAGGGATGCTTACCTAAGTGGGGGAGCCCTGTTGGGCAGCCCAGGTCCTGGGAGGGCAGAGTGCCTCATTTTTGCCTCTCATTCTCCTAGTTACGAAAGGAGATGAAATGGTGCTGAAAAATGCACACCTGGGCCAAAAACGATAAGTATAAGCTCTGGGAGGTGTGAAAGTGTTCCACAGGCCTTAAAAATGTGAAATGTCACTGCAATAGTACAGTTATGACCAGTTGAGCTATTGCTGGAAAACACCAGGGACAAACAAAACTTGCTCATTGGGATGCTCAAACTCAGGCCTGTATGAGGATGAACAATTCAAGTTCTGGACAAAAGAAAGTGATTCCCCTGATAGATGGTGCGAGAGATGACAAACTCCCAAGGAGAGGTGCTCTCAAAGCAGCCTCCTTGGCAGGGACCTCCTGAAACTGGTCCTCATGGCTGTTTGGAAGCACATCATGACCTGATTTTCACCAGGAAAATGGCCTGTGAAAGAGGCTCACAGAGTGCCATCTGCTTACCAATTTTACTTCTTGCTTCATTTATGCTTTCTCCCAGGGCCTTCGCTTCAGAAAATCTGGAGAGGGGGGAAGAAAAAAAGAAGAAATGAGAGTTTAACCTTTTCTGTTCATCTTAAATTATGTTTTAAAAATAAGAGATTTCCGAGAGGTCTCTGTTATAAAACTTAATGGAAAGGGACATAAAAAGACAATTTAAATGAATGAAATATATTTGGCTTAAGAGCAGAGATAAAATTTGTATTAATTACTGGTGTCATGAATTTTTACTCATCTCTTCAGTGTAGAACTTCCTTCTCATAATCTCTAATTTCCGACTTTTGATTTCTAATGTATTATGATACAAGGAAACCAGAGTAAAGCAGGGCTGTATGCCTTATGTATGGTGTTCTATTAATCATAGTACCAAGATCTTAGAGTCAAAGAATACTTAAAGAACTTTTTTTTTCCTGATAATTTTTTTTTCTGACTGGTAAACCATGGCTGGTCATCAGTTTCTATAAATCAAGTTGAATGGGACGCAGCCACATGGATTCCTTGGTTTACTGTCTAAGGCTGCTCTCACACTGCAAAGGCAGTCAAGTGGCTGTGACGGAGACTATGGAGCCTGAAGAGCTGAAAATATTTACTATCTGGCTTTTTCCAGAAAAAAGTTTGTTTACTTTTGTTATAGATGATGTTAAACCACATTTTGGAACTATCAAAGCAAGAAAAAAAAATAAAAGCCTCAATATTCCCTACCCAGAAATAGACCTATTCTGAGATCTAGTCTTCTTTCTAGCCAGCTGTTATATATATGATTTTGTGCTTTGGTTTTTTTTCATTTAGCATTGTGAGTCCTTCCCTATGTTCTTAGAAACTTCTCCACTATCTTCAGATGGCTGCCTACTAGTCCCCCAGATGCTGTGTTGACCTTTACTTAATGACTCCTCTCTATTTTCCAACAGGTATTCTTGAGAAGCCCCCCGAGAGCCCAGTCTTATGCTGGACAAGTGTAGAAATGAATGACCTCTACGAAAACCATGCAGTCTAGGCCTACAAACAGTGGGCCCTTAGCAAATGTTATTGCTCCACCCGCAAATCTTTCTGGATCCCAGTAAATCCCAGATGTGCTATTGCTTCATCCATAGGCACTCAGTCCTGCGGGATTTTGCTAGAGGACGTGGGGAGAAGAGGGCTCCCAGGTACGGGAAGACCAGAAGTGAAGTCCAGAGGGCCCAGGATGCCCTGGGCTGGCTGGGAAAGAGGCGTGAATTACGTCACTGCTATTTTCCGACTGTGTCTGCCACGCCGGAGGCTGCGGACAGAAGTTTCCAGGGAAAGGGACTAAATTTTCTCCCAGCGTTAGGTTTCTCGGGACTCCCCACCCTGGCTCCTTATTAATGGTGTTCAGGCTCATCCCAGACGACATATGTCCCTTCTGCAGCTCGGGCTTGTCAGCTTCTGGAGATGAGTACAAGCCCACTGGATGCCATGCAGACTGAACTCAGCTCAGCAAACATTCGCAACGTGGGCGGGTCACTGTGCTGGGCTCTGGGGGCTCACTCTGGCCTCTGCCCCTGGGCAGGTAGACTGAGACCTTGTCTGGGCCACTCAAATGAGGACTGTCTTCATCCTTGAAGCTCTGCCATGTGGAGATGGCGGGGGGCGGGGCGCTCTGACTGTTGATAGGTGCCATGTCCATCCTCAGCACCTGTGGTTTCATGGCATTTGATGGTCCTTCACAGCGCAGTGAATGACGCCTCTGACGGCCTGTTCCACAGAGTTCTAGAAGCGTGAGATTCTTGGGAATGAGGAAACGACAGGAGCAAGGCTGCAAAGCTGCTGAGATTTATATCAGGGCTGGAGGAAACCAGGGCAGAGCTGGAGAAGGGAAGGTCCTGAGGGCAGAGTGGGCCATCTCCGCAGAGGAGCCCCCACAGGCATGGAAGGGAGCCCCTCCCTTCCCTGGCGGTCGCCTACACGTGTCGGGGTGTGGGGCCCATGGCGAGGAGCTGCTGAGTGCTGTGGTCAACCGTCTTCAAAGAGCCGCCCCATGCCGGGCTGGCAGACACGGCCGGGAAGTCGCGGGCTGGAGTTCCAGGCTCTCTGCAGCCCAGCGCGGAGCTAAAAAGGGCTTTCCCACTGGAGAGGTGTGGGCTGAGGGCTGAACCGTCTCCGAGAGACTGTTTTCCCTTCGCTGCAGCTGTCGCCACCCCAGGCCACTCCACCCACATGCTTTCCTGCTCCTGGGCTGTCAGGACAGACTCTTGCCTGAGGAAGCCCAGCCCTGAAGGAGAAGGAGGGGAGTCGACAGCGATGAGAGGATGAGACACGAGACGTAGCTCTGCATTCCTGCCCTGTTCCTCCTGCATCTCCACACCCCCTAGCCCGGCTCCCTCGGAGCCACCCCCTCACCTTCTTCCTGCCCCAGCCGGAGTTCTAGACGAGAGAATTCATCTACCTTGAGAGAACCACAGAGTGAAAGCAATTCTCTTCCATTGGCTTCCACGTTACATCATGTATCTCCCTGTTTTTTTGCCCCCTCTCTCCCTGACTTTTGCTTCTCAGACGCTTTTTCAGACTTTTCTTCTGCAATCTGTTCCTTAGATGCTGGTAATGGTCAGGATTTGGGCTTCCCTGGTGGCTCAGATGGTAAAGAATCTGCCAGCAATGAAGGAGACCTGGGTTCAAGCCCTGGGTCGGGAAGATCCCCTGGAGAAGAGAATGGCTACCCACTCCAGTATGCTTGCTTGGAGAATTCCACGGACAGAGGAGCCTGGTGGACCACAGTCCATGGGGTCGCAGAGTTGGACACAACTGAGTGACCAACACCTTCATTTTCTTCAGTGGTCAGGGTTTAGTCCTAGATCCTCTCCTCACAACACCCGCTCTCTAGGCACTCCATTCAGGCCAGTGCCTTCATTGGCCACCTCTTCGGTCACCTCCCAGATCTCAGTCCTGCTTTATTTTCTGTCTATTTGATGCCCTGAATATAACTAAAACCCATGGGATCCAGAGCAGGGCTGAAGACCTTCCCTGAAGACCTTGCCTTTCTCCCAGGGGCTCATGCCACTAACCTGCACACCACACCAGCCTTTGCCCTTCTCTCCACCAGCCCCTTCACTCAGCCCTGGAGCCTTGCCCCCTCTCTGTCCTCAGTACCTACCCTGACATCCCACTGAGCTTCACCCTGCACCACCCGCCCTGAGCGGCCGCTGTCATCTCTCCCCCATACCACTTCACTGCAGCTTGCCCGGCTCCCTGCATTCATGCTGCCTGCCTTTGGGCTATTTCCCACATTTCAGTCTTTGTCTTCTAGTCTAGGGTGATTAACATCATGTGTTGATTATTCATGGAGTGAACGTCCGATGCGCTTTCCCATCAGAAAGACTGGGTCTGTGTCTAAGCCCTTCCTTTCCCTGTTGACTCATTCCTGATATGATACCTTGGCTGCCTCTGTTATATTGTGATGAAGATCCAACTTTCATTTCTATTACACTTTTTAAAATACTAAAATTCCTTTCTATCATGTCCCCTTTCCCCATCAAGATGGCTGCCCTCTTGTCACCCACCAAGGGGTTCCTCCGCGATTCAGGAAGCTGCTGCTACATTCACTGCTTCTAGGAAGCAGTTCTCAGGGGGCTTTCTGGGCTGCTAAGGTTTCTCAAAGTCAATTTCAAATTGTCATTCTCAAGCCAAACAAAAACAAAAACAAAACAGTCTTTTTGAGTACCATTTTTATGGCTAGCGTGTTTTAAAAAAACTGTGGGGAGGCTGAGAAGATTCTAATCTAACCTTTGCTCTCAGAGTTCATAATTCTAGTTCAGGAGACAAGGTGTAAATACAAAAAGCAAATGGAAAAATAATAAAAGGTTAAAACTGAAGTCTAATAGGAACCAGGGAACTCCTATTTGGGGTGGACTTTATTTCCAGATGATGGTGTTAGATTTGTCGATGCTCTTGGTCCAGGTTTCCTGTTGGTGTGATACTGTTGTTCTAGTCTCTATCTAAAGGATTCAACTTGGGGTGGGGCGTTGCTTTTCTTGGTTTCGTTCACATTATCAATGCCTTCATTTCCAGTTGTGGCTGGCCTCCCCACTGATTTACTCTTTTGTTACTGAATGGGACCCTGTGACAGGGGATTCAGTTTGTATGAGGGACCTGTCACAAACAAAGTCAGCTATGTGGTGCCTGGGCACTGCAGTTAGCCAAGCGTGGGGCTTCCAGCCTCCGTTCATGCTATTATATACTGTGCGGATGAGTCATGCCTGGAAAATGTAGTGATTTTCAACTGCACTTCTACCTGAATTGTCTCCTATTGAAAAATCTGGCTTAAGAATTGGCTCACGTGCTCCAGTTTACTGGAGGGCAGATATCCTATTAATGTGCCAACATCTTGTTTCTGTTGTCACAGGCAGGCAGCACAACTTTCCCCAGGCTGGGGGCAGAGCTGAGACATGCTGGCAAGAAGGGGTAGAGATCCCTCCTACTAAGCGACTGATGTCTGAGCCACTCCTGCAACTCGGCATCAACTCCCGCACTCTGGGGGAGCTGAGGGAATTTGAGTCATCAAGAGTCCCTGTATTTGGGCTTAGAAGCTACTTGCCATTGGCTAATGAGGCTGAGCTGGACCAAGGCTTGTGTCTTTGGGGGGTGGTGGTGGTCCCAAGCCCTTCTTTTCTGAACTTTTCCAGCACAATGGTGCAGCACTAGAGCTATGGGTTGGCAGAGTTACTTGATAAGAGAAGTAGTGAACAAAATGGGAGAGCCCAGGCCCGTGGGTTCTGCTGGCTGAGGATAATCAGAAGGTAAGGCTTTCTAAGAGGAAGTCTATTAGAAGTAGAGTTAGGGAACAGCAATTAAAAAAAAAACTTTTTTAAAAAAATTTTTTGGCTGGACTGAGCAGCACGTGGGATCTTAGTTCCCTGACCATGGATTGAACCCTCGGCCCTTGCATTGGAAGTGCAAAGTCTTAACCACTGGACTGCCAGGGAAGTCCCAGGGAATAGCAATTTAACCACTCTGGGGAACACCCCTCTGGCGCATGTCTGTATTCCTAGGACCTGTCATTCCTCCA